TGTTGCCTTGATGACACACTGCCTCTTCGGAACAAAACAGAACTCGTAGCAAGGAGAAACCCTTTGGATAATAAGTTGTAAGAGCACAATACATCTTACATATACACACACACCCATGCACGCACACACACACAGACAGATAGAGAGAGAGAGAGATACGTATGTATGCATGTATATACATATATGTAGACGCCTCCGCGGCCGCTTCGAAGACCTGCTCCGCAGACGGCAGCATGGCATCTGCCGGCACGGCGGCTGCCAACGCGTGTGCAAAGGTGTGCAAAAGGAGCTCCGTATCCTGATATGCGACGGAAGTTGCGAAACATAACCCCGAAAAGCCCCGCATCCCCAAACCCCAATCCCTGAATCGCGAAGCTCAAAAATCCAGAAGCCTACTACAACCCTAAATCCCTACAGACCTGAACCTCTAGGGCAGTTGCTTTTGCGATCATGCTCGGCATCTCCACTGAACTCTACACCGGCCTCTTTCAAAGGCACAGGGTGCAGAGTTTATGGTTTGGCTTAGTGCCAAATGCTGGGCGCTTCAGGGCTCATCATCAACAACATCACTGTAGTCATAACTGTTCTCTGCAACATCATCATGATCATCATCGAAAAATACCACAACAGCCATCACCATGATCATCAGTTTTATGCTAGTGCTCTTCAACCCCTTCAATTAACCTTCACCTTTTCCTCCTCAGGCTGCTGCTAGTTTCGTTACTGTTATGCTGCTGATGCTGCTGCAGCGGCTGCTGCTTGTGATCCTGATCCCGCTCCTGCTCCTGCTCCTGCCACTGCCACTGCCACTGCCAGTGCCACTGCTACTGCTGCTCCTGCTGCTGTTGTTCACGACGAGGAGGCTTGCAAGAAAAGGATAGCCGCTGTGATGGTGGTAGCCTACGATGGCCACAAGAACTAAAGCTGCAAAGTATCGCTCTTTTACCAACAAGAATGCAGAGCCGACTGAGAAATCCAGGCCGGTTGCAGCGAAGGATCTGACTCCGTGTTGGCATGCCATCGACTCTTCCTGACGTGATGCCGGAGATCGGCGACATTGGTGAGGTTGCCTCAGTTCGAGTGCAGGGTCTAGGATGGAACATATCCCGGCTTCTCAATTCACAAGCGGCCGCAACCAAAGAACAAAGACTCCTGAAATCGAAGCAGGACTGCCGTTGTGCGCACAAGCCAGGCCGAACGGGTAGTTGCCATAGAAGGGCTGCGCCTCCCGGTCACCACAATGTAGGCAAGGGAAGCTAGACTCCAAACTAACCTCTGTGAGCCTATGAGCTGCTTGCACGACGGCACTTGTTATGGCAGTGATGGAGGTGATGGAGGTGATGGCGGTACTGGCGATGATCCGATGATGTGGATCCTGATGCTGCTGATGATGATGATGATGACGATGATGACGACATCGACGACGAGGATGATGATGATGATGATAAATATTGTGCGTCCGCAGTGGTGATGACGAACACCGGGACGACGAGGACCGCAACGATGGTGATCCCGTTGCCGATGATGGCGGTTGAGAACAAGCTGGTGACTATGATGGTTTTGATGATCGTGCTGACATGCATGCTGAGCATCGCTGATGCCGAGAGCGGAGATAGGTATACGGTACACTCTGCATGGAAAACTAACGCAATCATCATGATAATGGTGCTGCTGTGAGTTTGTTGATGTTGATGCTGAGGCTGGATGATAGTCAATGGCGATGACGAAGATCGTACTGATGATGTCTGTGATCACGATGATGAAGCACATGCTGGTGATGATAATGATGACGATGATGATGATGATGCGATGATGATGACGACGACGATGATGATGACGATGATGGTGATGATGATGATGATGATGGCGATGCTGATGATGACGATGATGATGGTGATGGTGATGATGACGACGACGACGATGACCCTGACGATGATGATGATGGTGGTGGTTTTTGATGACGATGACGGTGGTGGTGATGATGATAACGATAATGATACTGATGACGATGATGACGGTGATGATGGTGATGATGATGATGATGATGATGATGACGACGACGATGACGATGACGATGATGATGATGATGATGATGATCATGATGATGATGGTGGTGGTGTTGATGAAGATGACGGTGGATGATGATAACGATAATGATAATGATGAAGATGGTGATGATGACGACGATGACGATGACGATGGTGATGATGATGGTGATGATGACCATGATGATGATGATGATGATGATGATGATGATACGATGACGATGACGATGACGATGATGATGACGACAATGATGATGGTGCTGCTGCCGCAGCTGCTGCTGCTGCCGCCGGCGGCAGTAGTGATGTTGATGGTTAGTGAGGCTTGAAGCGGCTTCAAGCTTTTGATCCTTTTGGGGCGGCCTCATTTCAAGCCTGAGTGCACCCCCCAAACCCTGGAAGCACCTCTTTGCAGCTTTTGGTACCCGCTGTAGGATACCTCCGCGAACGTTGCTGTCACTTCAAGCGCCACAGCTCTCTCCTCATCCGTCTGTGCTGCAGCTTTGGGGTTTCTAAGTGCTTCTGAACATGTTTGGACTCCAGGCACCTGAGAAAAGATTACACGAACACCGCTGCACAGGAAGGTCTTCCGAAGATGTAGCGACTTCCATCAGGGCCTCCAAATCCCCGGACCGCACCGACGCGGCCAAGGCGCCGGCAATGTGCTACACCGAGGTGCCCCTGAAGCTGCATCATGTGCCCCTGGGAGTCGGGGTCACACACTGAAAATGGGTTGAGGGGCCGCTACCGCATCTACGGGGGCCAAACAGTACCAAGGATAGGAAGAAGACTACCAGCAGAAAGCTCGGTAACGCTGGTGCCCAACAAAGCCAATTCAATGAACGGGGGGTGATGCTCCCAGGGCTCTGATGGAAACAGCAGATTTCGCTCTAACAGTTTGGGCTGAGCAGATAATGCTTCTTGTACAAGGAGGACGTCCACGTTCAGCGTTTAAGGTTGGACGCAATATTGTGTTATGCACATCTACAACTTCTACGTCTCTACGTTAAGTACTTCGGCGCTTGCCCTCACCTCGAAGAAAACGTCCTTGACGAGCCCGTTTCCTTTGTGAAGATGTGTCCGGCCTGATGGCTCCAGGGAAGATTCCCTGAGGGTCAAGGATTTGGACTCCCTATGCGGGGTTTCAGTGGATTCAGACGTTGGGGAGGGTTCCGTAAGGACACCAGATCCGCTGCAGTTCTTTGGCCCTGCTATGACGTAGGAACTCTGGGGTTTAGGGGTGTCGCTCTTGCAGGGTTCCTGCAGATATCGTGGGCTGCATGCCAGTGCGGTGCCACGTAAGCGTATACTACAAAACCCTGCGCGTCACCTAGGCCAGCAACTCGTGCAGGCAGTAGGTACTGCCACACTTTCGTTTGTGAAAGGCGTTTTTGTTCAGTCACTGCAAGCACTGCCAGTTATGATTTCGCCGGAGGTGTGGGGCCTTGCAAAGAAGAACGAACTCCACGTGCAGGCACGACAAACCCACGTCGCTGCTGCTCCCGCCAACTGACAAGACTTGAAACACGAACCCGAAACCCCAAAACGTTATCTGAAGAGGGTACCAAAGCCCCTTCGCTGGAACGCTCGAAGCCTTTGGTGGCTTCGGCGGTCAGCATCCCCGCCGCATCCTGCCCTGAAGGGCCGGAAGGCACTGATTTTGGAAAGTCGATTCCGACACTGCCAGAATCCCTGAGCCAAGACAGCAAAAAAACTCTGAGTCAGGCTGTGAAGATCGCTTCGGAGATCTTAAAACTGCCAATTACACGCCAAACCTCGAAGGCTTCGATTCCTGTTAAAGAGGCTCTAACCCCTGAACCCTGGGAACACAAACAAGGTTTAGGGTAAAGTTTACGCTTTCAGGGTTTAGGGGGTTACTCCCAAGATCCTGAAGCCTTCAACCCGCCACTCCTCGATGCTGCAGCACCGTGAGCCCATCGAAAAGCAGCTGATTCACAGGCTCACGTGGATCCGCCAAGAGGATAGCCAAGATGCCGCACATGGCTGTTAAGGGTTTAGGGGTGATAGGTGCTTTCGGGATTTAGAGTATTAAGGTGTTTTTTGCTTCAGGGCCTTGTAATTATAATACTTTTGGATTTTGCCCCAGCTGTAGTTACAGTAGTGGCAGGTGATAGTAGTTGCAGTGGTGGTAGTTGTGGTGGTGGTGGTGGTAGTAGTAGTAGCAAAAGTAGGAGTAGTCGTAGTCGTGGTGGTAGTAGTAGTAGTAGTAGTAGTAGTAGTAGTAGTGGTAGTAGTAGTAGTAGTAGAAGAACTAGTACTACTAGAAGTAGTACTACTAGAAGTAGTAGTAGTAGTAGTAGTAGTAGTAGTA